TTAGAAACATGGAAGCTGCAGAGGAAAGGACTGGCTCATAGTCAGGCAGCTAATTACAGAGAAGCAGATGCATTCGATGAGTGACCAGGGAGGCCTAGAGGACCCCAGGAACCTCAGGAGCAACCACAGGCTCCCCTTCTTCCCCATCAGGCCCAGGCCATGCTTCCTCAAACCGCTGCACAAATCAGATTCAATCAATTCATTTTAAAAATTAAATAGATTAAATAAGAATGTATTTATAGTGACTCATGTTTAGGTTTATTAGTATATGTTTGCTATACGTAGTGGTTTCATTCATCTTGGGGCTTCAGAACACGGACATGAGGGCTTTTCTTCCCCTGGCCTTTCCCTCCCTCTCTCTCCCTCCAGCTCTAGATCCCCCCTCCCCACAAGAAGAATCTGGCTCTTTATTTCCTGTTATCTTTTTTATTTTGCTGTTTAAGTTATCTACACTCTGAATTTCTCATATCAAAGAAACTGCTACATTTAAGCTTATGTGTCTGATTTAGTTTACTTAACATTATTGTTTCAGTGTGCATCTATTTTCCTGCAAATGTCTCAATTTTATCTTTATTAATAGCAAAATACTACTCTGTTATGTGTGAGTACCACATTTTCTTTTATCCGTTTATTTGCTGATGGGCATATAGGTTATTTCCAAGATTTAGCTACTGTGAGTTGTGCTGCTATAAACATGGGCCATATTAACCATTTTTAATAAAATTATCTGAGGAAAAATTGCTTCTGCCCACATAATATGTTTCTTCCCAAAAACCTGTGAGGTTAGTTGAAAACTTTGTTTTAGATATTTTGAACAATTTTCTCTCTTCATGTTACTCCTGAGTCTTCAACACAGTTATTTCTTTCCTGCCGGAAGTGCTATTATCTTGAAGCCACAGTCCTCTAGTTTTCCTCTGCTCTCACTCCTTCCTTTGACATAGCCTCCACTTTCCCACCCAGCAGTAAGTGTTGGCATACCTAATCCTCCATCCAGAGCAAAGAAGCCCTCTCTTCCTCTAATCCATGATAGAGGATGCCAGGTACGTTTGACTCCCATTTGTCCCCAGCTGTCCAAGTGCCCGGAGCAACTGCCTGAGCTCCAAGCACAACCATGGCCCATTCCCACAGTACTTCACCTTTAGATGGTAGCCTCTATAGGCATGATCTGTGGGAATTTCCTAATTAACTTTCCAACCTTCCCACAACCTTCTCATTCAAAGGAATTCTGTCTGAACAATAAACTGAGTGAATACCGTGAAAACCAAAATCTGATTCACAAGTCCCTATTACCAAAATCACTGTTTTACAAGACTCCTAAATATCCTGTATTCTTTTCCTTGATAAGAAATAACAGAAACATTTTTAATATAACACATTTAATTATAACAGTTTCACATCCAACCCATGAAAGACAGTAAATGATAATCACATTGGCATTTCCACTGGCCGGCAGGCGGCTTCTCCACTAATGGCTCCCACTGCATCGTTTGCCTTGCCACATTGAATTCACTTCCAGCCTGAAGAATCACCTCCTTTGTTTGGATGATGATGAAGTCGGTCTTCTGATTTTTTGACATCTAGTTCCACTTTTACTATAGCCAGGCTCTCCTTTGTAATCTGTTCTTTGTATTTTCCAATTGCAGCATTTTTGGGGGATTGATCAAGAACATCACGAATCTTCCCTGTACAGTATTCTTAGCCTCTAAGACTCCTCTAGTACGGAATCTCACACACTGCCAGCCCCACAAGGCCCATGGTCTCCTTCAGCACCCCGCCATGACAGTGTCCCTGGACCCTAGTTTTCTAAGCTGCGGAATAAAGGAGTTAGTCTAAATGGTTTGTGTCTTCCAGTCGTACACATCATCCATCTCCTGTTCCTTTTTGTCAACACAAGCAAACTCACAGCACCTAAGAAGTCAGATTATGTAGATTTCAAAAGCCTGGGAACACTGCGAAAGTTCTTCAGTTCCTGGGCTACAGAGGGAGCCCTACAAATAAAGAAAGTGAGAGAGGGAAGGTGTCTCCCGGCAGGGGCTTCTTAGTGGAAGGGGGCCTTGTTGGGCTTGGAGCTGGGCAATTCTTTATCACATGGAGCTGTCCCAGCCATGTGAAGGATTTCCTCCCCCTGGACTCTGCCAGTCATTACAGCTGATCGAATGCCCTAGCACAAAGCCCTCTTAGTGGCAACACTATCACTTTAAGATCCACCGAAACCCAAGAGATGAAATAAATATGCCAGTTTAGGAGAGGAAACCATTATATAATGCCTGCTATAATTTATAATTATTAAGTATTTATGATACAAGAAAACTGCCTTCCAACTCTTCCTGAATTCTCTCTTCCCCAAGATCATGCCCCTCACATTCCCTCCCTGATAGTTTCCCTGCTCCACAGCCCTAGTCTCCAGCCTTGCATCCTCTCAGAGAGGACCTGAGACCCCAGGAGTGTCCCAGACTCCCCTCAGGGTGCTGTTACTGTCAGCCACCTTCTTAATACGCATCCCTGGGGAGAGGGGGAGATAACCAGCAAAGTTCCACTTTGGCCAAATCAAAAATTGACCACGGGCACCATGTCCACAGTGATGAGCACCTACAACACACGATCTCATTTGCTCCCTACTTGGCCTCTCAGCTCTCTACCCCTCACCTCCCTGGAGCCATAAACTCTATCTCCTTAGTCATTTCCTGCATTCAGTAAGTCACTGAGCTTATCTCCACAGCAAGGGGCTGCACTTCATGCTCTGCTCCTCCTGCTGACCTTTGTGCCTCCGGAGCTGGAGCAGGGAGACGCCAGGGCCATCACTGATGGGGAGTTCCCAGGAAGGCTAGCGACATAAATGGTGGTCTAAGCCAGCACAGGGCTGGGGCAGGAAGACCACCTTGAGAAATTGTCCAGGGGCCAAAAGGAGAGCAAAACACACTAGCAAAAGGCCAAAGCACCTCCTCCCCATTCCACGGCCCATTCCCTGAGGAGAGATTTTGTTCTGAGTGTTCATGTGTAACCCCAGCACTTACTAGGCTTTTGGCTCTTTGGCCATCTTTGATTTCCTCCAACTCACAAAATTCTTTCCCATTTTGACCCTTAGTACAGGCTAGTAACATCCAATCTGGAACACTTTTTTCAAATAGTGACTTCTTGTCCTTGAATTGCTACTTTAAATGTTATCACTTTAAGAGCCCTGTCCATATATAAAGGAAATCACACACACACACACACACACACACACCCCACACCACATCACAAGTCTTCATTCTTCCTACAGACCATATAACTATATACCATTTGTTATTTGTGTGTTTCTAATATAGAGATTTTATCATCTCATCTCTGCTACAGGGCCAGCGATTAGTGTATCCAAGGTCCTCTGAAAGTTTTTAAAAGAATGTATGTGTACAATCAGGACTTAATAACCTGTATGGAATTTTAATTCTATATTATAAAGCAATTAACATAAATAAAGGTGGTATCTTACGTCAATAGAGGAAAAATGAATTAATAACTAGAATTGAGTAACTAAACTTTTTCCTTAATCTATAGCAAAATCAATGTATTAAAATGTAAGACTTTAAAAATTGAACCATTAAAAGAACTTTCAAAAATATACGAGATTTACATATCTTAATACAAAAAAGGTTTTTCTAAGCAAGTGAAAATAGACTGATTTATTTGAATACTTAAAAACTAAGCCTTCCTTTACACACATCTACATGCCTAAAACATTAGCAGAGACAAAGGAAACAAAAACTGACAAAAACTGTTTTTACACTTAACAAAGGCTTAGATTTTACTATAAAATATTCTATAAGAATGAAAAGACTAATAATTCAAAAAGGAACACTAGGGACACGATTAAGCAAACCACAGAAAATTTCATAAAAGTGACTCTTAACATACACTATGTTATAGCTCTCAAATGAAAGGAATATAAATTAAACAATGAAATAACCATTTTTATCTTTCACAGTGCAGAAACGAGAAGTTTGATGATGTCGATGTTGGACGTGAGCGCTGGCACACTATCTCAGGGGGTGTGAATCCTGTCCCAGAAAGCCAGCCTCCTGGGCCAGCTGACCTTTGGAAGTGGGCAGCATTTTCACAACCACACGGATGATAACTGAGCAGCACTGGTGAAATTCTAGGTGCAGACGCTCTTTCTGGTCAGCAGTCTCATTTGAGATTTTGTCCAACAGGCAAAAACATGAGAAAAGACATGGAACACACCCATGCAAAAGATCAAAGCACTCTAAATGAATTTTAATAGTAGACAGATAGAAAAAGGCTTGATCGTAATGAGGATCATGCGGCCATTGAAAAATCAATGTGCCAACGCCAGTCACCGCTTTAGTCTAGGAAACACACAGGGTGAAACTGAGTGCATTGTAAAAATGCATGTTTATAAAAAACCAGACCCAAGGTAGGTAGGTAAGGAGGCAGACAGATGAAAGGTAGACACATAGAGATATAGATAGGGCTATAGATACATAGACCATTTCTGAAAGAGTAAAAAAAAACAAAACAGAGGAAGGGACAGGAAGTCATTAGGCCTACTTTTCATGATAATGCTTTGTATAATAGAGAAAACTTACCATTTACATGTATTTTTTAATTTAAAAACTAGACTCTAAAAAGGATGCTCCAATATGACATTGTAGCCATCAACATATTTTCCGTAATAATGATAATAAAATTAGCAAATTAGTAAGATTCCTTTCATCCTATTTAGTTCATGCTTTTATTATTAAAAGGTAGCAAATTTTAAATGAACACCTGAATTAGAATAACTCAACGCTCCAGAAGTGAGGCAGGTTTGGCCTTCGAGTTGTGAATAAGTTACTCAGTGTAAAAGACCTGAACTTTATTTATTGGTATTTTGTTTTTAAAACCAGGCCAGCTTGGGCAGTGTAGGCCCATCTGTAGCTCTCACCACTCCCTACCCAACCCAACAACGTATTCAAATCCAATACCGAAAGTTACTTATTAAACACAAGAGATATGTGCTCTGGGAAAACCATTATAAACTTTGTCTTTGGGAGGCTGGATTTCTTAATGAAACACAGAACCACCATCACAGAAAAGCAAAAATGGGCCATCATCATGTAAGTACGCGTTGCCTTTGGGAACCCGGTGTAATTTTGGCTGGCCTGTGGCAGAATTTAAACTATGAAATTATGCCTGATGCTTCAGACTTAGTATTGTTAGTTTTAGCAATAGTATCAGAATTGTAAAGTGCGTTTGAAATATGTTTCTACCCCATTGCCCAAAAGAATCTCCTAGAAGATACTAAAGAAAAGTTTAAAATGTCCAGTAAACAGTGCTTATAGAAAGAGTGCTTATATTCAACCTGAATTTGTGGGCTAAATAACTAAACCTGTTAGTTTGCAGCAAAATTGTACAAAACTTCATAATTACACCCAAGCTGAGATTTGTGGGAAAGATAGGTCCATATTGCAAGGATTAGTAATCCACGTAAAAAGATGCCTGCAAGGATGTACCGGGTGGCTCAAAAGCTCAAACTATTCTAGTGTGATCTCTAAACAGCATCAAATACCCCAACATTTGCAAATATTAGTGGGGAAACTGGGTCTTTTCCTGTGCTAAATATGAAAACTGAATTCAGATGTTCCACAAACCCACACATATTTTCTTCAGAGAAGAATTATTTCAGGTTATCTGTAAATAGCATTTTCATGCTAGCCAACACTACGAGCTCTTCAGTCAGGGTCCAAGAAACTGGAAACTACTTTGCAAATGTTTCTGAGGGATGCAGAAGGCCTCAGGAGGAGTAACTGACCCCGGCACTAGCAGGTTGGGAGGACAGTTCTGTCCTCTGAGATTCAAGCACAAGGTGCAGGCTGAGCACAGGCCAGCATTTGTATGTAGAGCCAGACTTGCAGCCAATATCTGTCCAAAGGTACACGGGCATCACCACAGATTCTTAACTTCTCAGGAGCCCAGGACACCAATGCTCATCAGCACTTTCCTTTCCCTCTAAATCTCAGGCTCGAGTCGTGGACTTTACCATACTCACTGATGGCTAGGCCCTCTGTCACCCTCCAGGCTGAAAATTCCATCATCAAGCAGGGATGCTATCCTTTGGAAAATGTTTGTTACAATATTTCAGCTAAGAGCTGGGCATGGAGATGCATATCTGTAATCCCAGCATTCAGGAGGCTGAGGCAGGTTCGAGGGCAGCCTGGATTATAAAAAATAAACAAAAATATTTGCAGATAATGTACAGATGTATCCCCTAGGATCTCGGCATGTGTTCCCACAGCACCCCACTAACATTCACCTGAACAAGTGCATCAGGCTCACCCCAGCCCTTCTGGTGTTTCAGGAAGCAGTAAAGCGATTTAACATGGGCGAGATGAATAAATACATTATAAATAACTAAATACAAAGTTGCTTTAAAGGACAAAAACTTGCCCCTATCATGCCGTAAATTAATTGCATCATAGACTTACTGGCTGTGTACAGACTGAAAGAATACTAGTTTTGAGGGAACTGCAGAACCAAATCACAGGTCAGAGCCAGTGAATGTAAGTCTGTGAGATCTGGGTATGTACTGCTGGCCTCATGTGATGGGTAGTGCTCTGTTATTTAAGTAAATGGCTGCAGTCAGCAGGAAAGAGCTCTGGTTCCTATCCTTGTTTTTGAGTTTCAGTGAGTTTAAGTTTTGATGTGATCCAAACTCTTAGTTCTATAACGGTTTTCCTATGCAACTTACCGATAAACCTGGATTTACAATACTGCGTATGAGGCCATTGAGGCTTCTCTTGTATCAAGTGTGATTTTTATACGAGGCTTCCCTCTCTTCTCTATTCTTTTACTTTTGTGATAATGAAATAAAATTTAGCATTTGTAAAATTACAAATACAAACACAAAAGCAGGCACTGAAATCGTGTATCAGCACTTGGTGATCCTGATGATTTAGTATTCTTTATATTAATTTTAAGTTATTATGAGTGTTAAAAGCACTATTTTAAAAGACTCTTAGAAAAGTTTTAAATCTCCAAGAATATGTCTACAGATCAAGGTCCATTGATAACTATCTGGTAAGTAGTGTTGTAGAATACTGGACAGGAAATATGCTTTCCAAGGTAGTATGATCCAGAATCTGAACCAGTTTGGAAATCTGAACCTGAAATTACTTCTGCTTTGTGCTTCCCCGCTCTGGTTTTTGTTTTTGGTTTGTTTTTTTGTTGTTGTTGTTTTGGTTTTTGGTTTGGGTTTTTTGCATCATTAATGATTTTGAACTGAAGACTTACTGGTGACTAACTTACTTAGAGCAGTAAAAAGATTCTGGGTCATTATCATCCTGTGTAACAATAAAATGCTAAATCACATGAGCTTCAAAGAATTTGCTTCACCTGTGGGATATGTCCTTGGGCTTAGTGAGAAAAAAAATGTCCTTGGGCTTCACTGAGAAAAAAAATACAATCCTCAGAAAAAAGTGTTTGGCTTTTTAATCCCATTTTATTATTATGTGGGCTATTTGTTTTTACTTTAAAAAGCAAAACAGAAAAAAGGGTAGGAATCATACAAAATTTCAAAAAAGCAGGAAATTAACACTAGTTAACATATTGCATATTGTTATCTGAGAAGTAGTTGTTCAGGTTACAAGATCTAGGCACAAAAATATGATCAAACATTTCCAAGACAATCACCATCCAGAGGAAAATGCAGGTTTGAGGTTACCTTAGCACGGGAATGTGGCCAGAGAATATGGGCAAAATAGGGAAGAAGCAAGATTTCAGGGAGCTGCTGGAAAGACAAAAGTCATGACAAACTCACAAGGGTTCATGATTTCTGTGAAATTATGTGCAAGGGAAGAGGGGATTGCAGTTCTGCTGTCCACTGTGTGGTCACTGGATGAGCAGCAGCTCCACCTGGCCTGGAAACTTGGCCAAAACGTGGCTTAACCCGGGCCTCTGAATCACACTCTGTATTCTAATAAGATCCTTAAATGAGTTTCAAAGTGAGTTTTTAAAGCCTGGTGAGCTGTGGATGAGGAACAGGTTCCCAAACTCGGCTGCCCATGGGGTTTGCCCAGGGAGCTCCACAAGCCTCTGACGCCAGTCTGCCACCCCAGAGTCCGCAATGATAGGACTAGGGGTCTTTGCCCTGTACCCACTCCTTATGTGAACCTGACACGCAGCCGAGTTTAGGGAATACTGAAGTGCAGCGCACACTAACCTTCTGAGACGGCTGTGCCACTGCTGGCGAAGGCAGATGTCACTGTAAGCACTCAGGAGTAGGAATGTTACAGCCGCTCAGAGATGGAGGGTGCACCTCTTAATGAGTTTATTGTGCCAGTGTTTTGCCAACATAAATATCGTCTCAAAGGGAGAACAGCTGAGGACAGCAGCAGGTGAGCCAGCTGAGCGTGGGTCAGAGTGGGAGCTGCCTTGCGGGTGGGGATTAGGCTGATTCCTCAGAAAAGAAAGGAGGCTCTGGAGACAGGAAAACCAAGGCAGGGAGCTTGAAACAAAACCAGGTGTGGCTGTAATCAGGAGCGTCGTTCCTGCGCTCAAAGCCAAAAGAGCCACCGTGAGCTCAAGCAGAAACCAACCTGGCCCATGCGGTCTCATCTTCTTACCAGGAATCCTTCCTCAGGGGATGCTGTCATGAGTGCAGGAGGAACAGAAAGCACTTCTGGTGTCAAAGTACGACTTGCTCTAAAGCTTGCCTTCCTCATCTAAGACATGTTCACCTTCAAAGTCTAACTACATTTCAGATGAAATTTTGAGACCTTGGCTTTTTGATTTCTTGTCAGTGGCATGTGCTGGCATCCCTGCTCTCAGCTTAGAAGCAAGAACCCAAACTCCCAGTCATGATCTTGAAATAGGGCTTTCAGAGATGCTGATGCTGTGACATCTGTCCAGTGCTCAGTGGGCTGGAAGCTGTCAACACATGAACCATTGTGGCCTGTGAGGTGTGAGCTTTTGACTATACTAGGTCTACACACAGACAGATGCCTCTCTCCTGAACACCATTCTAGGAAAGCAATCCTGCTGTTCTTCCCCTTTTAGATATGGAGAAAGAGGCAAAGAATGATCAGGTAACTTGAACATCTAGTAAGAGATGATGCCTGAATTTGGACTGCAGAGGATTTCTTCACACTGTCGTGGGTTCACTAAGGCTTGTCTTGAAATAACTAGAAGCTCGCCTATTGGATGAATGGGGTGAGCCCTCGTCATCTTCTCTCACCTCCTTCCCTGTGCCTCCTCTGCTCTGACCTAGCCTGATACTCCTCATATAACTCTATCACCCCCTAAGAAGTTTTCAGACCATCTTTCCTGTGTACCTGCTCCATCCTGAACTGATGGTCCCCTGATGGTGGGACTGTGACTTCTATGTATCCCCACCACCAGCACAACTCCTAGGGCAAAGCAAATGTTCAGTTAAAGTTTGATGACTCCACCCATTCTTCCCATTTTCTAACTAAGCAATGTTCTGTTTAGTCGGGAGCCAAATCCTGCCATCCAGTCTTGCTCCTGACCACTCATGGGAGAGGCCACAGCATCTGCACTTTTCTTCACTCACAGAGCGATGCTACCTCACTCAAAGTTGAAATCATGGGCCCATTTCAGGCATTCTAGTAAAAGGCTTTCCAAATGTGATCCCTAAACAAGTGTCATTGGTATACCCCAGGATCTTATAGTGAATGCACAAATCCCCCCAAGATCGGCTATGGGAGGGCCCAGCATCCTGAATCTGAACAAGTCTCCCAGGCACTTCTGATGTCAATACAAGCTTGAGAGCCAGGGCTGAAGTGTGAGCCTCTCACAGGCCCAGGTTACAGCTGTCTTCCAGCTTTGGCCACCAGCCACTCCCTCTACTCAAATGTAGGGACAGCCAAAGAGGGCAGCAAAAACCTAGTTCTCTCCACCCCTCACCCAGGGCCTCATCTCAAACGCAACTCAGAGAACCTCCTCACCCCGTGTTCTCCCCACTGCACCCTACCTAGGTGCAAACTGCTCCATCTGGGGTCGCACTGCAAAAAGACACTGAGAAAGAAACACTCCAGCCAGGAGAGGAGAAGGAAGCCACTTTCCACTCTTGCACGCCATTTCACAATTCCAGTTCTGTGCA